TCCCCTCCCGGCTCGGGGGGGGCACCCGCTCCCCGCCCCCCACCCTCCCAGGGACGCGCTGGTCGGACTGGTGAGCGCACTGGTGGCCACACTGGCCATACTGGGAGGCACTGGGCTCGGACTGGTGGCCACCGTCCCCATACTGGTCCTTTACTGGTGGCCGCAGGGCCATACTGGTTCCTGTTTTCCCCATACTGGTGTGCGTGGTGTTCATACTGGTCCGGTACTGGTTCCTGCTGACCCCTCACTGGTCCCTGTTATCCCCCTGTGGTCCCGCACTGGTGTCTGTGGTGCCCGTACTGGTCCGGTACTGGTGGACATGATCCCCATACTGGTCCCACACTGGTTCCTACTGTCCCGTACTGGTCCCAGCTGTCCCTACACTGGTCCCAGTTGTCCCCGTACTGGTCTCCACTATTCCCAAACTGGTCTCCACTATTCCCAAACTGGTCCCAGCTGTCCCACAGTGGTCCCCAGTATTCCCATACTGGTCCCCGCTGTCCCATACTGGTCTCCACTATTCCCATACTGGTCCCAGCTGTCCCATACTGGACCCCGCTGTCCCATACTGGTCCCCACTATTCCCATACTGGACCCCGCTCTCCCATACTGGTCTCCACTATTCCCATACTGGTCCCCACTATTCCCATACTGGTCCCCGTACTGGGGCAGCGGGACCCGGGGCGGGCGGGGCGTGGCCAGGGCGTGCCCGGGGCGTGGCCCGGCAGGGGGGGCGTGGCCTCGCGGACCGTTACGGCCGTTGGATTTCAAACCTTTCGCAGCGCGGGGGGGCCCAGGCCACGCCCCCTCCGCCGGCTCTTGACGGACATCCCTCACATCCAATCAGCGCTCCGCGTCCCGGCGCGGGGCCCAATGAGCGGCCGCGCGCGCTCCGCCGGCCCCGCCCCCGGTAACTGACAGCGCTTCCCGCCAATTCCAACGGCCCGGCGCGAGCGCGCCGGCCCCGCCCCCGGAGGGCGTCCCCGCCACCCAATCACCGCGCGCCGACGCCTTGAGCGACGGCAGGCCCGGCCAGTCAGCGCGAGGCCGAGGGGCGGGGCCGGCGCCGC